TAATTTTTTTTTAAAATTTTTTTCAATTGTTTTTCTATTAAATGTTATGAATTCTTTCTTTTAGATTTATATTTCTTTAAAAGGTATTTATGAAATAATTTTTTTATTTTCTTTATTTATATTAAAATGAATTGTTTTTTTGTTTAAATATTTATTTTGAACATTTACTTTCTTATGTTATATACGTCTTTTTTTTTTAACATTTTTTATTTCTTAGGAATTTTTAAATTAGATAATAAAGAAAGCTTTTTTAGACAAAATCTAATTCTATTGTTATGACATGTTCAATTTTCTTTTTTATTTTTTTTAAACAAGTATAAAAATTTTTCAAGTTTTTCTTTTAAATTTGATTTCATCTTAGAGAAATTGTTAAGAAAAATCAGATCTTAGTTTCAATATTTTTTTTTTATTCCATAAATTTCAAAGTGATTCTTCTCTATTTTTATAAAACTGGGTTTCTTTCTTTGAGATCCAATATCTTAATGAATTTTGATTCTTTTGTTATTTCTTTTCTAGACTTTATTCAACAATTTACCTTTATTAGATTTTCTTTTTTCAAATAAAATGTTAGATTTTGCGTTAGGAGAAAGAATAAAATTTTTGAACTCTTTCCAAAATTTGTTTCTATCTGTTTAAAATCTTTGAAAATTTTTTAAATTTATTCTTTTCAAAGATAATCCAAACGGATTAAATTTTTAAGTTATAAATTTTATTTTCCTTTTATTTTATAAATTGTTTAATTCTTTTTATAACAAAAATTCTATTAAAAACTTGAGGAATTTGAAAATTTTTTTTAATTTTTTAAATTTTTAAATTTATTTAAATCTTATATAAGAATTTCTTTTCTATTTTTCTTGATTTCTTTGCTTTATAAAATGTTATATATATTATTTGATGTTTAAAATCTTATATGCTTTTGAAAATTTTTCTATAGAATTTTATATTTATTAAATTTTTTGCATTTCTTTCTTTCCAACAAAATTTTTTAATAATATTCTTCAGAATATTTTTCTTGAATACAGAATATAATTATGTTTTAAAAAAATGACTTCCAAAAATTTTTTATATGTCTTATATTTATTTTATTATATAATTATTTTCTGACTATTATAATTTCTTTTTTACATTTTTTCTAATTTCTTGATTTTTCAAAAAATATAACAACACTTTCTTAAGACAATAAAAAAATATACAATGATTAAAAATTTTCATACGAAATTAATTCTTATTTCAAAATAAAAAAAAAAATATAAAGTTATATGAAAGTTTTCTTTCTTATTCAATAATAAAAATATAGGTTAAGCTTGGTTGAATATAAAAATGTTTTTTCAATTTTAAATCAAATATGGTTATATAAATTTTTATATTTATTAACAAAGAAAAATTTTATTTAATATATTCTGAAGAATATATATAGATGATATATTTCTACTTATTAAATGGAATTTTTCAAAAAATTTTTTTTAATTATATATACAACTTTTTTTAAAATTTTCTTATATTTTTAAATTTTAAATCATTTTTATTTAAAAAATTTTTCAAAAATTTAAAAGAAAAACATTTTCCTCTTCAATAAAATATTTTATGATCATCATATTTTTAAAATTTTTTATTCAATCTCAATATTCAATAATCACATTATCTCTTATTAATTTTAAATACATTTGAAACATTTTTTTTTTCTTTTTAATGACTTGTTTATTTCTTATGCTTCTAAGAATTTAAAATACATGGGATAAATTTGAACATACTTTTATAAAAACTCAAATAAGAATATATAAAAATGAATTGGAGTTTCTTTTATTTTAAAAAAATTTAAATATTTTTATAAACATGTCTTATTTCTTTTAGGAAACAAATATTATTTTTTATATTCTTTATAAATATTGATAGATTTCTTTTCAGAAATTTTTCTCTTTTTTTATAATTATTTATTTGTTTTTTGAAAATTCCTTTCTTCCATGATAAAATAAGGAATTAGAAAATTTTAAATTTTCTTTAACACAAAAATTCAAAATGAAGATTTTATAAATAAAATCAAAATTCTATTTAATTAGCCGAGAAATCTTCAAAATTTTCTTTCTTTTTTTCTTCTTATATAAAATAAAAAAATCAATTTAAAAATTTTATGAATTCAGTAACGATATATAATATAAAAACAAATTTTTTTCTATTTATAAACTGATAAATTGAATGCAAAAAATCTTTTTTTTTTTTGAGCTCTTATAATTAAACATATAAAAAATTAAAATTCTTTCAACCTTAATTCTTTTCTTTCATTTAAATAGTCTTAAATTTATTGATTGAAGGGAATTTGATAATCAAATTTATTCTTTTGAATATAGAGAATATTTCTATCTTTAATTTTAAATTATTTTAAATTTTTTTTTCTTTATTTCAAAATAGTCATATGAGACGAAAATTTTTAATTTTTAATGATTTCGAATCATTTTTTCATCATTTAAAAATTTTTTCATTTAAAAAAAGAAATATTTTTTCTTCTGATTTGATTTATTTTCAAAAAAACAAAATTTATCACCAAAAATTTTTATTATTTTTAAACTTTTTTTTTTTTTGATCACTGTTTTCTTTAAATCTTTCTTTCTTTGCATTTTGAAAGACTATTTTATTTGCAAGATATATTCTTTCTGAGGTTCTTTGATTTTTATTTCTTTTTCTATTTCATCTAAAATTTTCTTTAATGAGTCCTTTCAAATTGTTTTTTTTTTCTTGTTTTTTACTAAAATTTAAAAAATAAAGATAAAATTTTCAAAAATTTTAAAATAAATTTATTTTTGTTTTTATTTTAAATTAAGGTGAACCGAATTTTGTCTTTCAAATTTTTTCTTTTGGGGGGTAAAATAGCTGAAGAAAAATATTTTTTAATTCATTTTCTATATGGATGGGATAAAATAATATTTGAATTTCAATATAATCGAAGTTCCGTATCCTTGAAAAATGAATACATCTGATTTTTTTTAGAAACACCCAAAAATTTGTAAATTCGAATTTAAATGAAAAAAAAATTTAACAATGACATATAAATAATATAAATATATATAAATTTTATAAGCAAAGGAAAAATATAAAAAACGTCCATTTTTTAAGTAAATCTCTTTATATATTCCAATTTTGAAAAATGAAAATAAAGATGAAATTTTACTACGACTTATTTTATTTCCTTGAAATTTCTGCTATTGTCTATAAATATTGATGTAAATTGATAATAAATTTTTTAAAAAAATTTATTTTTAAGTAAATTTTAAAAAAAAAAAAACCAAAAAGAAAAATACAAAAAATAAATTGACCTAAATTCATCCAAGTAAATAAATAAACAAACCAATCCCAAATTAAAAAAACTGTTCCCAATATAAAAAAAAAAAAAAATAATAGTTAGAATGAACTACAACAACCAACCCCAAAATTGAACAAATTAGCTTTTAATTAAATTCTCAAACCAAAACAAAACTGTTAAATACGTGACATAAACAGTTTTTTTTTACGTTAATAAATAAATAAATAAAATAAGAAAAAAAAAAAAAAAAAATAAAAAAAAATAAAATAAAAAATAAATAAAACGAGCAATATAACTTGACCCAAATAAATGAAACGACTTCGGTAAAAAATAACCGCCATAATAGAATACCCACAATGCACCACTAACCCGTATATATATAAAACAAAACAAAAATAAGCACACGTATTCTGACGATCAATATATAAACAATAATCTTTGTTGCTCTGAAAGAAATTTCTTTTTATGGTATATATTATATATATAGACCCATATTCTAAAGATAACAGATGAATAATGAAATATTACCGGATATAGATATGTCAGACTGTTCTTGAGATAGAAAGATATACTGCTGAAAACACTTTTTTATTTGTCTAATTTTTTCGGATTTATTTGAAAGATATGGGCAATCTGAGTCCAGGAGAAAACACCTCGTTCAAATGAACTGAATTCTTAGGGTCAGTGTCACGGTCTATGGATTAAATGTTTTAAAAAAAAATTGAGTTGTTTTTGCGTTGTGGACTTTCCCCACATGATGAAGACATGCTCTGTCGGATGGGGAGGAGAGTTGAGAAAATGAATTTTGGTTTAGATTCTGCTGAGATGTTGAGTGATTCCCCATGCGTGTATTGAAATA